GTCCGTTGACACCAGCTACATTATTTATGCAGCTGGAGTTGTGTACCTTAAGCCAACTTTCCAGATCTGGTATAGACTTGGCCTCAGTGTAGATCAGTTACTATAGACATAATTAAATTGAGAAGTGGAAGGAAAGAAGGAACATTTCAAAGCACCCAACCCCCAGTAAGCTTTCAATGGGCAATTAACTGCCCTTGTGAATATCCCTCCAAGTTCCTTGAGTGAGGTAATAAATGGATATAAAATATAGAAGAGACTCAGAAGGGAAAAAATATGGGATGGAAGGAATAGTCTTCACTGGCCTGGGGAATTTAAAAGGATCAGTATGAGGATTATTATCAATCTTGTTCACTTTACGTCTCAGTGGCCTAAGAGAACTGCCTTGTAGAGGGTAATGAGATGGTAACATTTGCCAGTGATACAAAAGTTAGCAAGACAGAGCCAAAAGCAGCAGCTGTCGGTTTAAAGGATGAAGGCAATAACATTGCACTTAACTTCAGAAGTCTAAGGCCAGAGAGAGGTTAGCATTCTATGGAATTTTGTGCAGAGAAATGCAAGGTAATGAGGCTAGGAACTAAGAACATGAAACAGAAATATGTCCTTAATTTAAAAAAAAAAAAAAAGTCTGCAAAGCACAGATCTACAGAGAGCAGGGGATAAAGAGAGGAGCTTTAGGTTACTTAGCAGCAACACTGCAGGGAGGCACAGAGGCACTGAACTTGAATGGCAAAGAAATTATGCTAGATGCCTAGAATGTGTTAGCGAGACCACAGGTGAGTACAGTGAGCTAATATCGAAAAAGCTATTCTAGAAAAGAGCTAGCCAAAAAGACACAGGGACTGGAGAATCTGTGGTTAAGACCCAGCATGATGCAACTGTCACTGGCTTCAAGGATCAGCTTTTCTGAATGACCAGCTAAGCCGACCTTTTATACCACTATGGTAACAGGAGCTTAAATCTCAGAGGAGATGCCAACTTTCTCAATGGGACACAAATTATGAGAGCTGGTTTTAAACAAACAGATAATAGGAGGGCACTAGAGTCTGTTTCAGGAAAGCTGCTGTAGCTGTGATGCAGAATAGAAACACTCAAGTCAGAGAGATTCTCAGAGCCAGTCGGACAGGTTTTTTTGCTGTCTGAAAAAACATACCTTAAAAAGAGCTGAATAACCATTTTAGATGATTTCTGAGATCCAGGCTCCCTGGCAGGGGGGCAAAGCAGGCAACTGCCCCATGGCCCAGAGCTCCTGGCCACCCCTTTGAATTGCCATCAGAGTGCAGGAGTTCCTCAGGGCTCTGAGGCCTGGGGGGCCAAAGGAGGGAGAGAGCCTGCTGTGGTCTGGGCAGCACTTAGGGCTGACTGCCCTCAGCCTCGCCCCTTCCACCTGAGGCCCCGCCCCCACACATCTTGCCCTGGGACCGACAATGGCTGTTGGCTCCACTGCTGAGATCTCACACATATCTACAGACAGTTTTGGGTCTCGGAGCCTGAATCTCCATTACCCTGCACTATATGTCGGCACTCACAGCGGTGCAAAATGCTTATGCACGAGGTACACCAACACTACTGTTATATGCTCTTTTAGTGCTGGGGTAAAAGAAGACACAAGGTGCAGGACGGCAAAAAACAGCAGCAGCAACAAAACCCAGGCCCTCGGCTTTTAACTGGTCTCACCAGCTGAGAGGATCTCTCTGACTTGCGGGTTTCTGTTCTGCATCACATCGGAATTGCTGGGTAGTCTGGCCACTTTCAACAAATGGCCATTCACGACACTGCTTTTGCTGAGGGTCGGCGGTTGGATTCCTCTACCCTTCGGCCAGCTTGAACTTTCCAGTGAGGGAAAAAAGATAAGAAAGTGACAATAAAGATGCACACAGAAGAGAGAGCCTAATTCCCTGGAAAGCAAGAGGTGCTGCTATTTCAGCAGCCAAACTGCTCTGAAATAAATTAGGAGGAGGTCTCAGTGTGGCCACTGGATCTAAGATGTAGAAAAGAAATGTACCAATGTAGAGACAAATTCCCTTGTCTCCATCCCTTCAAACCAGAGCTGACAGGCCCCAGACAAGCAGTAGGGGCAGACAGAAATGTGATCACATTCCACAGACATTTGAATGGTACAACCGGAAGCCCATTTGCCAAAAGTGTCCAACCCATATTGCCTGGGGGAAGATTTCCCTTGGCTGTGGCCTTGCCTTTTACTGGCCTCCACAGCACCCATTGTGAGCTTTAATTACCATGGGGCAATTTCCTGTGGAAGTCCGTCTGCTCCAAGAGGAGGCTTCATACCTGCCCTGTTCTAGCCCGAGACACGTTGGTCATAGTAAGCCAGCCCACCTGCTTAACTATCAAGCCTAAAGGAAGGTCAGGTAACTCCACTATCATGTTCAGGAAAGCAGGGGAGCTGACAGATTTGTCAGGCCCCTGAGCAAGGTGGGATGGGCCCAGCCCCATGCTGTGTTCTCCCCCCCCCCCCCCCACCACCCCCCCCCCCCCACTAGGATCCAATAGCAATTTAGGGGGCCCGGGGTTGCCACAGTAGCAATGGTGGTGGCCGGGAGCCCTGGGCCCTTTAGATTCACCAGGACCTGGAGCAGTTGCCCCCTTTAGCACCCTGTCAGCGGGCCTGCAGGAGGGCTTTCCCCCGCTGAAAGGGCTGATGCAGGTGTCTCCAGAACTTGGATCCCTTGTGCAGAAGGAACCTGTCTGGTGGTTCCAATGGAACCTGGCTCCAAGGCCATGTGTTTCTAGGCAACAGAGCAGGGGCTTCAATAGGACTACCTGAGAGCCAAGCTCTCCAGAATAAAGACAGATGCAGCAAGGACTGTCAAGGAGATGCTCTGGCTTCAGATGGGATTCCTTATGTTTTGCTATATCTTGCAGCACCTGGTCAAGGAGATAACTCCAGCAAAACAAAGGAGAGAAACTTGCCTGCCCGGCCATACAGTCTGCCAGGAAGGCTGCTCTGGCCAGCATTACAACCACGTTTTGTTCTAACACTGGACAATGGGAACTTGTGCAATACATCAAGGAAGCAGTCCTGCAGCCAGGAACTGACAGGCAGCTGTCTCTCTCCTTAGCCTAGCCCAGAGAATGGGGCATCCAGGAATTTCCATGGGGTAGTTACCCAATCCACAGGAAGAGCTGATACAATATCCAAGCAGGCTACTAGGAGCCTTTCCACTGATGTCAAAGGATGCTGGCTCAGACCCAAGGTCTGCA